ATCAAGGTTTCATCACTATTCAACCACATTTCGATTCTGGTTACAAGTGCGATACGGAGGCACTTGTTGTTCCTAAGATTTTTTTTATAGGCCCCCAGTTTCTAAGCGGTTAGTTGGCCACCCACATATTCGAGGACTCCAACTTGCTAATGGGAACTTTTATAATCTGGATAAAATTGATGGACTGTTAGGAGCCTCCGTTTACTGTCGTATTATCAAGAACTCGATTTGAAGGAGCGCAACTGATCAACCCATATCTTCTTTGACTAAAATTGGTTGGCGCTTGTCCGGGCCAATTTTACCCAAGCTGGAAACCACCTCTTCCAGCTTTTATCGGGAAGACCAACTGATTACCTCGCAACACGAGGAGGTCGCGGTAATGCACGTTACCGACGAATCGGATCTCCTTGAGCTCATGCAACGATTTTGGCAAGTAGAAGAATCCCTTGCTATATCGGAGCTCAAGGGAGATGAGCTTCTTTGCGAAGAACATTTCTCTCGCACGCATTAGCGAACTTCTGATGGCCGGTTCGTTGTCAAGCTTCTACTTTAAGATTTTGCCGTCAATACTCTCCGGCTTCGAGAAGGTTCTTTCAAGGCGGCAGTCTCTATGTTTCTTTAACAATAAAAAAGGTTTGAAACCGACCCTTGCTAGTTTGAATCGTACAAGACCTTCATGGCTGAGTACCTAGCTCTTGGTCACATGCGTGAGGTCTCGGACCCTCTTTGAGTTGCTGCTCAAGTGGAGGTTTTGTGAGTTCATCTTTACCATTGATGTGGAGAAGATGTTTCGACGGATATTAGTTTACGCTGATGATCAGGCCTATCAAGCAATTCTCTGGAGGCCCGACGCCTCTTCAGAGATCAAAACGTATTATTTGATGACAGTCACCTACGGACTGGTGTACCCGCCTTTTTTAGCGACTTGCGTTCTACACCAGCTGGCTGTTGAATACTCTAAATTGCACCCAAGAGCCTCAAAAATTCTTTGTAAGGAATTTTACGTAGATAAATACCTATCTGGCGGACACTCTACGAAGGAGATCGCCGACAAATGTAGAGAACTTATGAACTTAATGGAGTTGGGTGGGTTCCCTTTGCGCAAACGGTCTTCAAATACACCGCAGGCTTTGGTGAACAATCCTTTCGAACCTCCTGTCGATCAACCCTAAGGCTTGAAGGAGAGTGCTGATGCCATTTCCGTTCTTGGGCTGTCTTGGGAACCAAAAACCGATTAATTTACGTGTAAGTTAATGATTGATAAGCCCCCTAGTCCTTGGACTAAGCGAACTTTGTTTCGCAATGTGAACTTCTTCCAGTCTCAAGTCTTTTGCGTAAACTAGCTCTCACTCTCTTTGATGGATTTTTACGAGTGGAAGGCAGGTTAAGTAATGTTTTACTTGACACTGACGTCAAGCATCCATTGACTTTATTTGGCAGGGATAGTTTTACCTTGTTACTTATCGAATACTATCACCACCTCACTCTTCATGGTGGCACTCAAATGAAATGAAATGCGATTCACCGAAAGTGCTGTGTGATAAATGCTTGCCATTTGATACATTCTGAGCTTATCCACTGCTTGACCTATCGTCATTACGCTGCTCGGCCACAGACCCAGTTGATGGCTGACCTGCCAAAAGTCAGGGTGACTCCTTTCCCGGCATTTCAGAAGACTGGCGTAGATTACGATGGACCTTTCCCTATTCGTCTGGCAAAGTGTCGCGGAAGAGGCACACTTAAAGGTTACGTTGTCGTGTTTATTTGTATGGTCACACGTGCCGTAGACCTAGAAATTGTTGAGGACTATACTGCTGGTTTTTATATAGCAACCTTCCAAAGTTTCACGTCTCGTCACGGTCATTGTTCCAACCTATACAGTGATCCGGGAACAAATTTTGTGAGTGCAGATTTTGAGCTGAGAAGAATGTTAGAAAATCGTAACAAGAATAAATCCTTTGCTGATTCTCTTTGTGCACTGAGCACGCAATGGCACTTCAACCCACCGTCGGCCCCCCACTTTGGAGGTTTATGGGAAGCTGCCGTCAAGTCGAGTAAATTTCATCTTAAGCAAGTCATTGGAGACCAGATTATTACCTTTGTTGAATTTTCTACTTTGTTTTGCGGGATCGAGTCCTGCCTGAACTCGTGACCTCTGGCATCCTTGAACGACGACTCCGATGATCTAGCCCCTCTGACCCCTGCTCATTTTTTAATGTTCAAACCATCATATTCGAGGCCAAAGACAGACTTCACATTCGAGAAATTATCGCCTTTGCACAGGTGGAAGCTTCTCTCCCAAACTGTGCAATGATTTTGGGGTAGGATATGGGGTGCAATGATTTGGAGTAAGATACTCCACAGAGTATCTTAGCTCTCTTCAAACTCTTGAAAAATGGGTCTCTACTCAACGACCGATGCAAGTAAGGGACCTTGTTTTAATAAAAAACGAGTCCACTTCCCCTGGTAAGTGGCCCCTGGCTAGAGTCATAGACGTTCTCAAGGACCCTAAATCTCTGATGCGGGTTGTAAAGGTCAAAGCTAAAGACACTCTTTAAACTAGGCCCATCCATAAGTTGATATTGCTACACACCGTCTTCAAGATCGAATCAGTGGGCACTCATTAAACCACTAAGATACTTAATCCTTAAATGGTTAATAAAGAGGTGTTAATATTTTGTTCGCGGTCTCACTTCACCGTTCTTTACTTTAAATGATGATAATAATTTTGCGACCTAATTTGACAATACAAATATTATTTATGTTTCTACGAGTACACTAGAATAAAATATGTCAAATGATTTACTCACACTGTAAGTGGAAACCGTTCTACATTTATTTCTCATCATGTAATGATTACTATAGATGTTAGCTAATTGAAAGGGTTTATATCGATTAGTTTATAAGTTTTTCTGACTCTTAAGTTCGTGTTTTTATTGATGTCTATTCGCACTGGCTTCCATACATCAACTCGGAGAGTATGTATAACATCAGCTTCGTTATACCTGATGCTTAGTGTGAATGCTTGTGCCGAGAAAAACTATAAAGTGAGATACAAGCCAAGAGATCCGTATGTGTAATGTATGATTCAGGTGCGCATGCTCCGCGAGCGACTTAATTCCTGGCTCCGTTGCAGAGTCAGTCCACCCGCCACGCTCGAGCAAGACGCTTCAGCAAAACTGCTGCCTCTCCGAGGTTCATGCTCTTTTGAGTTTGGTTGCGTTGGCTTCAGCTCTCACAACCAACGGTTTAGTTTTCTTGGTGCTTTTGTTTACCAATACGTCCGTGACTCATTGATTGTAAAAGAAGTCAACCTATCATTGATTTGGTATTTAAAAAAAAACAGTGGATCTATTATCTTGCAATCTATTATTAATTCATAAGGTGTGACATTATTTCAAAAACTAGTTTCTTTATTAAAAATACATTACATTAAAGTTATACATGTGTTAGTGATTTATTTACTAGAAGAGACAAAATGTTCACAAGTATCCTGTTCTCCGCTTCTTTAACTCCCTCTAGCTCAACGATCAGTCAAATAATACGGTCCACACAATGGTTCAATCCTGAACAGCTAATATCTATTAACTTAGAAGTAAAGTACAAATGCTTTAGAAGCCAATATGGTCTCATGATAAAAAATTCTAAAATTTTGTTAAAATTGTGCTATCCTAAAATTAGTTAGACGTCAAGTAATTTTGCACTAACTAATTTAAGATTTTCGAAAGCGTGACTGATTAAAAAAAAAAAAAAAAAGATTGTTTGGTGTGATAAGTATCCAAGGTTACACGCGAACTATTAACCAGCACAAATATTAACAGTTATGAAACACACAGACCCATCCCTAATTCTATCAAACTAAGCAAAAGTAAATTTACTATAAATCAAATGAATAACCTACCAGGACTGTCACTGTGAGCCATGTATGATTCAATTAGATTAGTTTAATAAATACAACTCGAATTTCTAAGCAATTTCTAATAAAACGTAAAATTATAACAGTTATTCTTTTTACACTACAAAAATGTGTAGTGTAAATGCACTGTATGTGAATTTTATTACGCTTAATTAACTCTTAAAAACAGTAGTAACAAAATGAATCCTCTTAGTGACATTAACTTTGAGTTAAGGTGACAAACACCAGATTAAACCGGTGGACGTAACCATCAAGGTGGCATTAGATGTAGAGAGCCTGTGTAAAATTTCCAGGTGCCACTGGTGCACCACAAGGTGCTCCTTGATAACTCGCAGCAGGTGTTTAAGGCCTGTTTTTATGCAATGAAGTTGGAGTTGACGAGCACATGGTCCTCCGCTACAATAGAAACCACTAACAGCTCACTATTTTTTAGTAAAACTTTTTAAAACAGAATGTTTCTATGTAAATCAAACGATTTTTTTTTCAATACTTTTCGAATTAAACAAGAAAGCACACACTTTGCATGCACGTAAATATAAGAACGTTGCTGTTCAGTACAGTAACTGAAACGTAGATTAGAACTGCTGGGCAGGTAGAGACAGGTAGAGAGAGAGTGAGAGAAACGTGCTGCATTAATGCACATCCTGCGTTCACCTCATGCTTGTCTCTCTCTCCATCCCTTTTTTTCTGACTTTGAAGAGGAACAAACGCTTCAGATGGCCACCTATACTGCCTTTCACATGGCAAAATGAAACTTTCTGCTTGTCAATGTATATTTATTTTTTTTAACGCAGACTTCTTGATACATAATTGCTAGTCTAAGGATCATAAAAATGGGACTAATTTTATTTTAAATATACTTATTTTGCCGTGATATTTGCACTACTCTTACTTTTTATTCAAAGCATTAAATCAAGAAATTTTTGTACTCAATCTCAACTACCATGATAATTACAAATAAATTTTAAACAAGTCTGATTATAAAGCATTTTATTCGTTATTGTGTTTTATTGGTTGGTAATAACTTTTCTGCACTGGTATTTTCATGTAATATAATAATGTGAGTTGAGTAGATAGAACTTACGGTTGTTTTTCCTTGAAGACACCCTAATGAATCATCAAACGGAAAGAAACTTTCATTTCTCAATTGAATGTCTGTGAGTGTTGGCTTAATAAATTGTTTTTTTATTTTTCCATCAGCCACTTTTATTGGTAGAGACAATTTATATTTTTCCATCCTATGTATTTGCGAAGAAGTATCTAAAAATTTTTTGTATTTTTTTTCGAAAGGGTCATTTTTAAGGAGCATCTTCCTGAAATAAAAAAATTATTTACGGTAAAACATTTTATAAGTTTATACTAATCAGGTCCTTAATCATTATATCTTATTAAAAACTTGTATCCGTATAACTTTTTAAAGATTTTTTTAAACCTAGCAACATTACCATAGTCACAGATTTTTTTATATATCTCTACTCCAAAGTGTTAAAAACTATGTATTTAGATATTTTCCCCTAAATAAGGAAAACAAATAAGACAGATAAATCATTAAAATAACAAACGCGAGTTTAACACATTTTTTTCTCTACTGCTACGAACAGCTTATGAGACAAGTAACTCCCTTTCCACTACTCTTGTGTTAGATTATTGTTCCATCCTGTTTGCTATGAAAATAAAGACATTCAGAACTCGATTCCACGATATTTTGCAATGCTGGTTAGACATTGGATTTCCATCATGCAAAGTTTAATGAAAAATTTATTTCAATCAATGAAAGTGACTCAAGTCCGTGCCAATAATGTTTGAAGAGGAAATAAAGAATCTACTATATACTGGAAAATGTTACAAGCCAATTTAGTACGTGTATTATGAACCAGCTAAAAGTAAAGTCAAGCATGGTAACTCCTTGAAAATAATATCATGTTTGTTTCGGTTGCAGTACGAAGGCTATTTCGAGGGTTAGCTTTTTTAAATTTGGAATGTACCTACAAGCTATATGCACACACACTAAAATCACTTGCCACAGTTGTCATAATGATGTAGATTACTCATATCGTTATTCAGCAACATTCATACAACCCTACGTAAATTGTATTTACTATCATCAATTGTTTTTCTAGATTTAGCAAAGTAGGAATCATGTGATATCCATCTACCGTTGTAAAAAAATGCCAACTCTAGCGCTGGCTGTCCATACTCTTATATTGAAAACATTCTACTAATCATTTTACATCCTACAACCTTTTACTAAGAAGCATCTCCCATAAATATTTTTTAGCCATGCACTTTAAATGTTAAGCTAACACTATATGCCCTTTGTTTCAACCGCCCAGTATTAGCTTTCGTAAAGGTCACATAATTTCAGGGGCTACTTCTTTACTCGTTAGGCTGGCAATCACTGCTAAAGTATTGAATGGACTGGTTCTCTTTTTATTTAGCACACTAATAACTCCTATCTCAATTCCAATTTTACCTATCACTGCATGGCAATCCTGTCCATAAATGCACCTTGAGGCTAAAAAAAAAATCCCAAATCGTATTCAACAGAAATTACGAAAAAAAAACTGTTCTTAAATAACTTGGTGCCTAGGATACTTTTCTGTTAAAAATAGCTCAAAATCAAATCCTAGTAATGCAAGTAATTGAATTTATCGACATTTTCCATTCAAAACGAGATTGCCAACGCAACTCGATTTTTTCAGTTGAAATTACAATTTGTAGAAAAGTTGTCTTACGCAGCAACTGAAAAAAGTGCTATTTCGATCAGAATTTGATCCTGAAACTTTTTTCTTGCCGGGAAAGTGCGTTACCAATTTTACCATTAGGGTCTCGATAACTCCTCTTCTTAATTGCTACATTTCATATTTTACGGCGATTTTTCAGTCGATGCCTGCTCGTATGGTACATAAGAATATTAAAAATTAATCTGATTCTATTAATTAATACAATTTTACTAATAATATGACCGGCAAGAAAAAAGTTCCAGATTCAAATCCTGGTCGAGGAGGCACTTTTTTTCAATTGCTGCGTATGACAACGTTTCTACAAATAGTAGTTTCAACTGAAAAAATCGAGTTGCTTTGGCGATCTTATAATGGATAGAAAATGTCGATAAATTCAATTACTTGCATTAATACTTACCCATCGATACAATTAGATTAATTTCTAATATTCTTACATACTAAATCCTAGTGAGTTTACCAAGAATGAAATTTTCGATATCGACACTATTTTTTTTTTCAATGCGAACTTTTTTAGGTGCGCCTTGGTTGGGGATCAAAACGGTAGCAACGTACGTACGTACATATATATATACTACAGCTCGGTGGCACTCGCGGCTCATAGCTCGCCTTCAGATTCCGATACATACATAGAGTCAGCATATAGTAGTACAAATATTCCTATTGCCGTGATGTCGTGTCGTAGTGTGTTACTGTGTGCAGTATCCACGTATACAATGTATAGTGTATACATGGACTATGTAATTGCGTAACTTGTTTACAGAAACAGAATTATGGATGCAGACATTAAAGACTGCATGTATAATAAGTGTGTGGATAGGTATACTTTCTACAATTACTGTGCAAGTGTGTAACAGTGTACATGTTACCCTTTGCGGATGTGCCTAGAATATATATACTAGTTAATATTTTCTTACAAATATATAAAGGAAAGTCGCTAAAACCGTTGTAATCGCTAACCGCAAAAACTACTAAACCGATTTTGATGAAATTTTGCACACTGATTCATGATACTTCCTACATGGTTTTAGTATAGTTTTTATCTTAAAAAATTTAATAACAATAGCAATAAATGAGCTTAAAGTTTTGCAAAATTACGCCAGCTTTTCGCTTTAGTTCAGTAAAATCCGCTAGGTAGCATCGACATAAAATCGAGGCTACCTGCAACAGAATTAAATAAGTGTGGTTATAATAAGCCGGAGCGTCTCGATAACTGATGCAATCGTGCTTCGGCGGTTCAACGAGCTGCATAGAGAATGTTGTTGATAGTCTTGCAGATGGATATCCCGGTTACGGACGACACTCTTCCGTAAAGGGGAAGGGACCTAGGTTTCCATTCACCCTGAATCTCGACGAGTGCGATAAAAAAAAAATTCATTCCAACTGATGACGTCTCTGGCATAATACCAGCAGACATATCTAGCCAGAGCACAATCTGCACCAACTTTTCAGAGTTGTGTGGCAGTCTCACCATCCCGCCTGGTGCAGTTAGAGAATTTTTGGCTATAAATGTAAGCCAGGGAAAACAGCTCTGAGGGGCACGGGCAGCCACAACGGCTACCTTCTTGGTCATCGCGACCTCAACGCGCTTACCCACATGTTCCCGTCTAACGATGAGCGGTTGGTTATCCGGGGAACGACCCAAAGACGAGATATTCTTTGGTCAGCGGCGTACCTCCCTCCATCACAGTCTCCGTACATCGAGACTCCCAGGGTAAGAATCAAGCAACCCGTAGCCAACTCTTTATCATCAGGAATAATAATAAAGAATAGCCTGGAAGTTTCACCACTGGCGCTTTTTAGGGCAATTATACGTATTTACGTGCCCTACTTAACCATCAATTTCGTCGGTTCTTTTTTGGGTCCACCTAAATGTAAACTACCTTGCCAACAAATACATTTTTACTACCATTTTCGGAAGCGATTCGTCGACTAAAAGAATATATTAACTAAAGACGGGCACTATTAAACCAAGTAAGCCATTCACTAGCAGACGTCACCTGCGGAGTTGTTCTTCGCAAGGCTGGAAAACCCGGTGACCGACGACCCTATATTACCCTCTCGACTCTAAGCATTTAACCAGAAATCACTGATCCTCTCCAAGGTCTGCGCTGGGCAAACCTATAACAGCTATAAAGGAAAAAAAACTTGAGCCAACGGGACAGCCTCCACTGGACAAGTATCACTAACAAATCTCCCCATCTAAAATCACCAAAACAACTGAATCTGCAAATAAAAAAGGTGCTTTAGACACCAACGTCTTCGACGTTATACCGGGAGACGTTGGGAAAGACCACTGCAACTTGCCCCAAAGCTTTAGACTTTGTAATTTTTCTCCCGATCAGTCTGGGTTTTCAACAGCAGGCCAGAGAAGATCACCCTGAGGTATCCAGGCAGTCACAATTGCTGTTAACTGCAGTCAAGAAAGAGTTAACTTAAGAAGCTCACCGGTCTTTTTTAGGGCCATCGGACGTCGAACTTCCTTGCCAACAAATATATTATAACTTAACAAAGTTGACAGAAAACAGCTTTTAGGGGTCACAAAAATTTTAAGCATGCTAGAAGTCGCAAGAGGGTGAATTGGAAGAAAAACTTCAAATGTATCTAATAAATACAATTTCACTTAGGCGTCAAGAAACTGACGCAGAAAATTTATTGAGATTGAAACAGCAGCGTCAAAATCGACAAATAAAGAGTCCATTACGTGAGAGATCAGCTTTTTATTGTACCCCCACAGCAATCTCTGAAATCTTTAAAGATGCTACTTCAGATTTTTAAATAAGTAGAAAATGTATTTGTATTTTTGTGGCAATAAAAATGTAGGGTTTAAGGTCCAGGACTTTGTTGCTCTGGTAATAAAGTTGTGAGAAATGAGGAAAAAAATTTTTTTTTAATATAAATTTTTTGGGGTTTTAATATCTTAACAGCTTAAAAAAATAGCTCTTTTCGTGACTTACACGGGAGAAACTGTAAATCAACGGCTTCTTATGGCCACCGATTATTTTATGGCATAAAGAACGTACGGTACTTTTCAGCATTATTATTTTTTTGAATTTTTACACCTTATTCTTTGACCAAATAAACTATATGGATTCCGAAAAATTATGTTTTTTATAAGAAGATTTTTGTTCTGAGATGTGTTAGGAATATGTGTAAAATTTCTAACTGAAAACGTTTCATATTACATGTCAACCCACTACGGTGTTTTATTTAGTAAGTCTCGGGCGAAGCCGCGACGGGGGGCTGCTAGTTATTTTAATAAAGTACATTAACAAATAATTTCTGCGTGTATGGCAGATCGATGCACATAGCCAGTATTGATTAAACGGGTTTTTATAATATGGTATAACTTTCGAATATTACAAAATACGCCATATCATTAAAATGAAGTCAAATAGAGAAAAAATAACGAGTTTTAAAAGTTTTCAAAAGGTAATAAAACTATCGCGACGCACAAAAAAAGGCTTTGAGTAATGAAAAAACATAACCTCAATTTTTTAAGTTTCCGATGTACCTTTATGAAATAAAGAGGGAACATCATGGAAAAAGTTATATTACGTTTTGTGCAGGAT